ACAGTCTTGAAAACCAGCCTTCCTTCCTTCCTTCCCTTCCTTCCTTCCTTCCTTCCCTCCTTCCTTCCCTCCTTCCTTCCCTCCTTCCTTCCCCTTTTCTTTCCATTCCTTCCCTTTCTCATCTCCTTCATTCTTTCCTTATCTCCCTCCCTCACTTCCTCCTTTCCTCCATCCTTCTTTCTTTCATTTCAGGAAGGAAAGGAAATCCAGTCACTATTGTTCCATCTTCGCTGGGAGCAAAAGTCTTTTCAAATTCTTTCCTATTCTTTATAACAGCTAGAATAGTGCTGGACACATGGTTAGTTCATTGACTGAATGCTTCTTGAGTGCATTCATCTTTTAAGTAATAATATCCAAGTAAAAATTTGTTTAGAAATTCAATTGTAGGGCTGGGTGTGGTGTCTTAAGTCTGTAACCCCAACACTTTGGGAGGTCAAAGTGGGTGAATTTCTTGAGCTCAGGAGTTTGAGACCAGCCTGGGCAACATGACAAAACCCTGTCTCTACAAAAATTACAAAAATTAGCTGGGTGTGGTGATGCACGCTTGTGGCCCCAGATACTCAGGAGGCTGAGGTGGGAGGGAGGATTGCTTGAGCCCAGGAGGTGGAGGTTGCAGTGAGCCAAAATTATGCCACTGCACTCCAGCCTCGATGGGTGACAGAGCAAGACCCTGTCTCAAAAAAAAAAAAAAAAAGAAAAAGAAAAAGAAAAAGAAAAGAAAAGAGATTCAATTGTAGGTGATTGGGCTAATTTTTCTCAAGTTCAATAATAAATTATTATAATTCTTACTCAAATGAAGACAAATTTATTTATGAAATTGCATGGAGCCAGATCGCAAATGTTTTGGTGACATACTATATAGAAATGTTTTTGAAATGCTCGCTTCCTATGTACCCACCTTTAGTTATTTATTTTAAATTGTTTTTCTTTTTTCACTCTTGTTGCCCAGGCTGGAGTGCAGTGGTGCTGTCTCAGCTCACTGCAACTTCTGCCCCCCGGGTTCAAGTGATTCTCCTGCCTCAGCCTCCCAAGTAGCTGGTATTATAGGCACCTGCCACCATGCCCAGCTACTTTTGTATTTTTAGTAGAGATGGGGTTTCACCATGTTGGCCAGGCTGGTCTCAAACTCCTGAGCTCAGGTGATCCTCCCACATCAGCCTTCCAAAGTGCTGGGATTACAGGCGTGAGCCACTGCGCCCGGCTTATTTTTCAGACATAGCAAATGATAAATATGGGATCAACACATCTATAGCAGAAATCATGTTTATTATTATTATCAGAGTCTTCCCAAATGCCTGGAACGTAGTAAACACAGTATATATTTAAAGAGTGATTGGGCCGGGAGCTGTGGTTCACGCCTATAATCCCAGCACTTTGGGAGGCTGAGGTAGGTGGATCTTTTGAGATCAGGAGTTCAAGACTAGCCTGGCCAACATGGTGAAACCCTGTCTCTATTAAAAATACAAAAATTAGCCAGATATGGTGGCAGGTGCCTGTAGTCCCAGCTACTCAGGAGGCTGAGGCAGGAGAATGGCTTGAATGTGGGAGGCAGAGGTTGCAGTGAGCCAAGATCGTGCCACTGCATTCCAGCCTGGGCAACAGGAGCAAGAGTCTGTCTCAAAAGAAAAACAAACAAACAAAAAAGACTAAATGAATGGAACATTTTTGGGGTTGAGTACTTTTTTTTTTTTTTTTGAGACAGTCTCCCTCTGCCACCCAGGCTGGAGCGCAGTGACATGATCTCAGCTTACTGCAACCTCTGCCTCCCGGGTTCAAGCAATTCTCCTGCCTCAGCCTCCAGAGTAGCTGGGACTACAGGTGCCCACCACTATGCCTGGCTAATTTTTAGTAGAGACAAGGTTTCACTCTGTTGGCCAGGCTGGTCCCAAACTCCTGACCTCAAGTGATCTGCCCGCCCCAGCCTCCCAAAGTGCTGGGATTATAGGCGTGAGCTACTGTACTTGGCCTAGAATACTTTTTGTTTCACCAAACAATATAATTTATTTCAATAATATCTCTATCTGATGTTCCTCTTTCCATTTTACAGATTGAAGCTCTAGTTATAAGACTCATGTCTCTTCTGGTCTCTTTACAGTGTGCTCTGTTGGCCCTCACTTTGTAACACTTTTGGTCAGATGAAGTTAACACAAATCAATATTTCTTCCTCTACAAGAGAGGCTGACATGCTGATTTGGAAATCTTAATTGAAGACATTTGGCTTATACTCTTGGAAGCTTCAGGCTTGCATAATACTTTGACTTCTAGCTTAATTCTTGTGGAATCTTGGGCTTTAGGCCCCTCTCCTCAAGTTCTTTCTGTGGCTCAGCCAAATCTTGCACATTCTTCCAGCCCAGCATAAGCCTTCCTTCCTGTGTGACACCTTCTGCCACAGGGATCTTGCCCTTCTACCTGCTCCTTGGAACTTCATTGTCTTTCCCACTCACTTGGTGCCTAATGAACCATACTGCCTTGTCATACCCTTTGTGTTTAGTCAGAGCATCTGTCTCAACCAGCTTGTAACCACCTGCAGATGGGAGGCCCACAGTGCCTAACACAGTCATGATAATAATAGTAATCACCAGCACTGACTGAGTACTTACCACTTGCCAGGCCCTATTCTAAGAGCTTGTTATGGATGACTTCAGTTAAACTTCACCCCATTCAAAGGGGATAGTGCTGTTACAATCCCACTTTCCGGATAAGGAAACAGAAGAGCAGGGGAACTGGGTCACTTGCCCAGGGTAGCTAGCAGAGCCAGGATTTATTTATTCATTTATTTATTTGTAGTAGTTGTTTTTTTTGTTTGTTTGTTTGTTTGTTTTGAGACGGAGTCTCACTCTATCACCGAGGCTGGAGTCCAGTGGCATGCCCTCGGCTCACTGCAACCTCTACCGCCCAGGTTCAAGCAATTCTCCTGCCTCAGTCTCCCGAGTAGCTGAGATTACAGGCATGTGCCACCATGTCCGGCTAATTTTTGTATTTTTAGTAGAGATGGGGTTTTACCATCTTGGCCAGGCTGGTCTTGAACTTCTGACCTCATGATCCACCCACCTCGGCCTCCCAAAGTGCTGGGATTACAGGTGTGAGCCACCATGCCTGGCCTAGTAGCAGCATTTTTTTTTTTTTTTTTGACCTGGATCCTCACTCTGTCACTCAGGCTGGAGTGCAGTCGTGCATTATCAGCTCACTGCAACCTCTGCCTCCCAAGTTCAAGTGATTCTCCTGCCTCAGCCTCCCTAGTATCTGGGACTACAGGTGCCCGCCACCACACCCAGCTAATTTTTTTTTTTTTTTTTTTTTTTTTTTTGAGCCGGGGTTTTCCCTTGTTTCCCAGGCTGAAGTGCAATGGCGCAATCTCGGCTCACCGCAACCTCCGCCTCCCGGGTTCAGGCAATTCTCCTGCCCCAGCCTCCTGAGTAGCTGGGATTACAGGCACGCGCCACCATGCCCAGCTAATTTTTCGTATTTTTAGTAGAGACGGGGTTTCACCATGTTGACCAGGATGGTCTCGATCTCTTGACCTCGTGATCCACCCGCCTCGGCCTCCCAAAGTGCTGGGATTACAGGCTTGAGCCACCGCGCCCGGCCTTAATTTTTTGTATTTTTAGCAGAGACGGAGTTTCACCGTGTTAGCCAGGATGGTCTCGATGTCCTGACCTTGTGATCCACCTGCCTTGGCCTCCCAAAGTGCTGGGATTACAGGTGTGAGCCACCGCGCCTGGCCAGAGCCAGGATTTAAACTCAAGCGCGCTGAGAACAGAGCCTGAGCCACCCTCAGCCCCTACATTCTGCCGTGGCACTGGGGGTGCAGTAGTTGCTCAATACATCTTTGTTGACTGAATGAAAACATGGAGGCTTGGCCTGTGCAGAAGAGAAACCTCCAGAGGAGGCTCTGTTCTGTTATTCTTACAGCTTTACTGTTTGTCATCACTAATTGCACATCATTGCTGTTGTTTCAGGAGCAAGATCCTGTGTGGTCCAGGAAGGAAAACAGGTTAGGAAGTGAGATGCCCACACTCCTCTCCTGCCTTCCTCTCTTGCAGGTTGGGCAGAAAGCAAGTTGGGGCAGCTCTTCCTCCTGCCACCCCCTTGCTCTCAGAGCTAGCCACCAACCTGGAGCAGGGAGAGGTGGCAAGGAAGGCATGGGGGGCAGCGACAGCCTTAGGATCACTGGTTCCTGGGGCCCTTGTCCCCCGAGGCTCTGTCAACTGGATGTTCCTTTAGCTCACCGGAATTTGGCCAGATTTACAGAGATAAGATCAATCTGACCCTTAATTCCTTAAATGTAATTTATGGGCCTGCCTCCTGTGTGCCACAACACGTCTGGCTATCCAAAATCTGGTAATTATTTATGTAAACACAGCATCCTGCCTTTGTGGATTATAATTGGACTTGAACAGCAAGAAGCAGGGACTTACACAGTTGGGGCTGCATTGAAACCCTTCTTTTGAAAACACTCACCTGAGCCTTTGAAATCTTCCCTGTGGCTCATCGATGGCTTTAACCAGACCAAAAAAAAACTTTTTTCCTCCTCCTCCTGCAGGCCTGGGCAAATTTATTCCCAAACACCACTAGGTTTTCTAGGTCCTCTCGGAGGACGGGGTGAAGATACTCTGTCATCTGGGCTGGACTGACAGGACAGGAGCCCTGGGAGGGAGCCTCCCCAGATCTCCTCATTGTCTGTTGGGACATGAATTTTTATACCCCCTCTAAGAATAAACAGAATTAGGAATTTTATGCTGTTTGGAAAAGAGGAGAGGTGGCTGGCACAAGAGAAAGATCTTCGTTTTTTATTCATGCTGTGAGTTCCCCAGGAGCCTTTGCTGTACATACACACATGAGAGCCAGGAGGATTAGAGGAAAGAAAATGAGCTGATTGAACCAGATGGTTCGGGAAGCACTCCCAGGAGGCTGCTGGGATGGATGAATCTGCATCTTTAAATAACATTAATTTCTGAAAGGCCCAAACTGTTTCCTAAATTAAGACACTGAACTCTTACCTTTCATCTATGTTTATGGTACCTCTCTGGTTGAAGCCAAGAGCTGCTGTTTTCTGACAAACCAGCTTTGGAGAAATCCCTCATCCTTGGTGCAGCTGGTGAGAAACTGTTTTCCCGAAGGAAAAAAGAAATCCTTAAGAATCAAAGCACTTTGAAAAACAGACTTAGGTAGAAACAACCACCCCTGGGTGATCAGAACAAGCTACCAAGTTCTGATGCCAGCTGAGACACTCATTTCCTCAGTGGCTGGGGGCAAACCACTTAACCTCAGTTTCCCCACCTGTAAAATGGGGTTAATAATGCTTACCTGCCGCAGGAGTGCTGTGAGGTTTAATTGGGTAATGGCTGCGGAGCCCTTTGATGTAGTCAGTTTTATTAACTTGCAAGGGATTCCCTGAGGCCAGAGAAAGCAGTTAAACCAAGAGAGAAGAAAGGCACTGAAACGAAAGCAAAGCTCAGCTAAGCATTTCACCTCCAGCTCCAATTTCAGAAGTGCAGAGACCAGCTGCTCCATTGTGAATGGAAAGCAGTGGCTGGGGCTGGAGACTGTCTGAATGGCATCTGGGGAGAGAAGGCTTCAGGGTCATCTCAGAGGGAGCCTGGCTTTCAGATTGTGAAGGGTGAAGGTAAGCAAGTAGCCTTGCTTGATCAAACCAGGATAATTCTTTAGCCCCACTGAGGTTCTTTGCTATGAACTTCCTCCAGTAAGAGAATTATTTTGCTATTAATCCAAGGTCTTTATCATTGAATTTAGAAACCCCTAGCCTCTGGCCTCTTGCTTCCCGACAATTAAATAGAGAACTGGCCTCTAGCCAGGGTTGCTGACCAGAGCAGAGTTAGAGGGACAGCACCAACCAAAGGCCAGAAAATGGGGGCGTTTTCCAAGTTCCACATTCACAGCTAGGCAGACCAACCTAGACTGCTCAGCCAGCTCTGTGCCTCAGTTTCCCACTCCATAAAATTGATTTTGATCACACATCCTTGCCGTTAAGGACCAAGTAATTAAGATTTGGAATGTGAAAATGCACTAAAATGACAAAGAACAAACCCCTACTCGCCACCCTTCAGTAAGTTAAAAAAATCAATTATTTGAATAATTTTACTCCAAGCCAACTCATTCAGCATAAGAGACCCTATGCTCCTCCTGCTCCTTTCTAGCTTTTGGTGAGTGCCCAGCACACAGCCACGGTCATTCAGCATCAGCTACATGAACACAGCCCAGGAGGGTGATCAGCTTGTCCTGGTTTGCCTAGACTATGCCCGTTTTAGCTCTGAAAATCTCATGTTCCAGGAGCCCCTCCTAATCCCAGGCAAACTAGGATGGTTGGTTACCCTAACATGTCCTTGGGCTGGTTGGAAAGTGCTGGCCACAATTCCTGTCAAGCAGCTATTGACCTACCACGGGCATATCTTGGGAAAAGGGGTGCTGTGGTGTGGCAGAGGTGAGGAGTCCTGTGATCCAGGATGTCATTCCTGGCTCTGCCTCTATTGACCTCAGATGAGACCGGTGGCCTCAGCTTCCTCACCTGCAAAGGGAGGCGGTGTGACATGGTGCCTTTTCACCTTTCCTCCAGGAGACATGGCTGCAAAGACATGCCTGTCAACCTGCCCAGCCCTAGGGGGGATGCTATGTACTTTGCAATGAGTGGCAAAACACACAGCCTGGGGACACACTGGGAACTAAAGTCCATTCCTGCTTGTGGGACTCCACTCCTTGGTGCCCACTGACTCCTTTAATGCCCTTTCTTTGTGAGGAGGAAGCACATGGCTGGGAATGTGTTAGCCCTCAACTAACCAACTGAGTGTTGTACATGTCTCTTTAGATCTCTTTCCTTCCTAAAATGCACACATTATATCCCTGAGATCTGAAACTTGTCTTTTCCATGACTATGTTCAAGTTTGGCAAAATGAGTGCTGAGTCCAAAAATTAAAGCAATTTAAAGTGATTAAATTTAAAAGACCCACTGTTTCCCTTATCATAATTTAGGTTACACGTTTTAGCATGGTTTGCTATTCCTGTGTTTTATTTTACAATATAAACAGAAATACCTGCTGATAAAGGAAGTAAAATTCTATAAATTCTACATATGTTTTGTCTTCCTTGTCCAGATTTTCCAGCCAGCCCATTTCTTGCCTGGATATCCCCTTTGTTCGACTCCTGTAGACAGAGGAGATGATCAGGGTTGGGATTGTTTTGATGGAGGGGGCTTTCCTTTTGGGGATTGATTCTTTTAAAAGTGCCCTTGATAGGTGCTTATGTTAATGAAAACAGTCTTCTCATGACAAATCAGAACCTGGCTTTTATTGCATTAAAAAAAACGTAATTTACATTAAGAAGAAATGGGAAACAATGAGTGAATCAAAGCCACCCTGAGCAGCTTCCCCCTGCTCTGCCCCATCTGAAAACAGCCCTGTTTCCATTTCACCGCTGAGCTCAGCCTGCCTGCTCCAGACGTCCAGACCTCACACTCTATAAATTGTCTCTGCCCTTGCCCCGGAGTTGCTGACTATATGTATTTTTGGGCCCGGCATTAATTCCCTCATCCTTGGCTGGTGACATTAAGATTTGTAACTGATAGAATGTGTTTTTAATGTATTTCCTGCAGGTTACTATTAAAGAAATCTAATTCTTCTGAACTTGCAAAAGGTTCTGCTTCCATTTAAAAAAAAAAAAGTATTACGGGAAGAATTTCCCCAAACCTCCAGATGGACTGGGCAGCCAGAGGGGTCTGGGGCTCCAGAATTCTCTGCTTAGCTCTGCCACTCACTCTTCCTCCTCCTGCCCAGTCCGTTCTCTCTCTGCACCTTATTTTTCTGGGTATGAAATGAGGATAAATATTTGTCTACGAGATGAGGGCGTTGTAAGGATTAATTGGTTGGTGCTTCGGGAAGCCTTTGAAGATGAAAGACGCGCTCTGCAGATGCTAAGTGAACTCGTAACGTGTCTGGTTTTAATGAGCCAGGTGAAGCCAGTGGCGATGGCTGGAGATTAACTGTGCCTAGTTCAGAGGCTGCCTGCATGGGCTGGACTGAAAATGGGGTGGAGCTCCCCACTGGTCCCCTGGGTTTGATCCCATCACTGTTTCCCCTGACTCCTGGCACAGAGCCTGGCACACTGTTTCTCTAGAAATATATGCAAAAGGAAATGCGTTAGAATTCAACCTAGCCTCTCATGACGCAGAGAGCAGCGGTACAGACTTCCTACATCATGCTATTGACTCTCATTCTAGCGCATGGCCTGGGAAAATTACTTAACCTGTCAATCTCAGTACATCATTTGCCAGTGGGGATAGTCAGAGTCCCCAGTCTTGGGGGTCTGTGGTGAGGATTTGTCATAAACATGGCTAACAGCAATTGAGCACTTGATCGATGCCAAACACAGGTTCTAAGCATTTTGCACTCATGAACTCACTAAATTCTCACACACCAATCCCACCAGGGAGGGACTGTTATCCCCATTCTACAAAAGGCAAAACTGAGGCACAGAGAGATTACTTGGTAGCTTACTCAAGGCCTGAGTTCTTCAGCGTTAGTGAGACCACTGCTCACAAAGTGGAATACTGCCTGTTACACTTAACAGAGTGCTGGACACATAAGTGCACAACAAGTAAGTTGCTTGAGGGGTTCTCAGACTGCCAGATTTGCCCAGCCAGGAATATAGAAGCCAGGAGAGAAGGGACCAGACAGACACAGACGGGGCCCCAAGCTGGGGGAAGTCACCAGGTCCATTGTAACAAGCCAACGTGGTGCAGGTTTCAGAAAGGTGTAAGTCTAGTCCTGCTCAGGGTGATCGCATTTGGGACCCATGATTCTTTGTCAAAAAAATTTTTCCTACCAATTCATGGTACCTCAAAGACAATCTGAGCTATGAGGTTTGAATGCTGACCTATGGGAACTCCTGGGATGGTCCCATGGCTTATAGTGGAGGATCGTGCTGTTTACTGTTGCTATTCCAGGCAATCAACAAACCAAGGATCAGAATGAGTCAACATACATTAAGACTCTGGCCCAAGCCATCCACCTGAGGAGCCAGAAGGGAGACTGAGACCTATGGAGGAATGATTTCACACTCCAGCACTGTGACATCACAGCCCAGGCTCTGACATAGGAAGGGAACCAGCTGAAACGTGGGTTGGGGAAGCCTCTGGTCAGAACAGAAATATCTTCAGTAACTGCTGCTGGTGATAGAAGGGGAAATGGAATTTTGTTTAAATATTATGTTGTTTTGAAAAGTCTGACTAATGTGAAAGTCCCTATTTAAAAAGGAGTTGACTCTACATTGAAATTGGTTGGTGTTTCCACACCCACATGTTGACTAAGGCCTTGAAAAACAAACTTCCTGGTAGATCCTGATGCAAATCACCTGGGAGCAAATGCTTGAAGGTACAATCTGTGAGCTGTGAGCAGACGGGCCTAGCCAAGAAAAATCCTGGGTCTGTGTTTATGAAAAGGCAAACAGATCCCAAAAGGAGGCCCAAGCCCTAGCTGGCTTTGGGCACCGGCCCTCCAGGAAAGAACACACAGATTGGAAGGAGGCCCTAGCACACGTCTCTGGAACCCCATTTCAGAGCCCCTCTCAGAAGCACAGAGAATGAGGGAAGAGAGAGAGGGCCACGTGGAGCCTTCTCTTACTGAGCATAAATGTGTGTCTTTCACTGAATCTTTAGCACAGCTGCATGAAGCATGGACATTCATCACAATGTCCATTTTCCTGATGTAGAAATAGGCTCGGGGAGTTTCAGCAGTGTGACCTTATGTCCCAGTTTGCCCCAAAGAGTTTTGACTTATGCTGCTGTCCCAGCATGGTAACAGCCTTTCCCGTCATTCTTACAAGGGCCCCCATTTAACAATCTAGGTTAAGTGACTTGCCCAAATTCACCCCACTAGTGAGTGGCAGACTTGGGATTCAAATCTGATTTTCCTCTGCCCAGAAAGCAGACCCCAGGGCAATTTCTCCTCATTCACAATAACAAAGGTGGCTCAGGGGCATGATTTGCAAAGTCTCAGCAGCCGTTTAGGAGCTGCGAGCCTGCTCTCCTTCTCTCTTTCACTAAGGGCCTCTCCAAGCCTGTCTGATTGTGTCTCTGTGCAGGAAGGAGCCTACTGTGGCATTAGCTCTCAGCAGACAAACCACACACGTTCACCAGCAACGCACCTTGCTGTGTTTGTTTTGTCTGCTGAGCACGTTTCTACCAGCTCCTCCACAATAAAAATGCAAGATGGGGCTTCCCCATTTGGGCCACCAGCCCAGCTCCTGAGGCCTAACCTCAGCCAGCACCGCTTCACCCGACTGAGAAGACCCCTTTCCTTGGAAGACTGCCCTGGGGCCGGTCCTCAGCTGTCCTTCCATGACCTCTCTTTCTCTAACACTTACCTTGAGACATAGTAAGGAGTTGTCTGTTTTCCCAAGTTCCTCTGCAACTAATTACATTTTAGGACCACAGAATTGATCCAATCTAAGTTCATTTTTTCAGTGAAGAAACTCAGGTCCAGAGACATCAAATGGCTTGCCCAAGAGCACACAGCTGAAAGTTGAAGGCAAATGACCAGGTCTCCTGACTCTGAAGCTAGTTTCTTTCAAGCTGTGTTAGTTCTCACTTTGGCCTGAGACCTCTTGGTAGGGAGAGACCTCCAGTAATATACCTGGAGAAGGCCTTTACATGATGATGCTTGGATGCCAGAGACCAAGATCTGTCTGCATGACCCAACCCTCAGCCTATCTGCTAAAATCTCAGGATCAGCAACCTGCCAGTGGTTAGGCAGAAACATCCCTAAGTAAAATAAATCACTACTCCTGAGGTGGCTTCTGTCTTCAGACAACTGGCTGCTGGAGATCCCTTCTGATCACGGAGTAGAAGATGGTTTTTTTCACTCACTGCAGGGCAAGTCTGGGGCCCCTTCTTCACACCCTTAAAGTTGAAGATTCATAACGACCGTTCTTTGGATTGTTCCCCATGTGATGTTGTTTTGGAATATGCATTTGGAATGCAGACTAGGTGGTCAGACCTGAGATTGAAGCCTACCTCTGCCTTTTATCTGCTGTGTGGCTTTGGGCAAGTGACTTAACCTCTCTGAACTTCAATTTGCTCATCAGAAATATGCTGAGATCATGCTTAGTGTTTACTTCATTGGGTTTTGTAAGGATCACAAAATGATGAGATGATCTACATTACTGGCTAGCTCCAGGATCTGGCACAGTAATCACTTCTAAAGGGGAACAATTAATATTCTTACTTTTTTTTGATAAAGGGTCTCTGTCACCCAAGCTGGAGTGCAGCGGTGAGATCATGGCTCACTGCAGCCTCACCTTCCCAGGCTCAACAAAGCAGAGGCTCCCACCTCAGCCTCCTGAGTAGCTGGGACCACAGGCACGTGCCACCATGCCTGGCTAATTTTTTTAAATTTTTTTGTAGAGATGGGTCTCCTTATATTGCTCAGGCTGGTCTCAAACTCCTGGGCTCAAGTGATCCTCCCTCTTGGACACCAAAGTGCTGGGATTACAGGTGTGAGCCATCACTCCAGCCAATTTTCTCACTTTTCCTTAACTTCACACTGTATTTATCTAAATGCAGCACCAAACTTTTTGATTCTCTGGAAGCCGTATCACATGACCAACTTTTATCATGAACTAAAATGCGTGTCCCTTTTTCACGCACACAACTGCTAACACATTTTACCCCTAACATGTCCTCTCACAGTGTTATTTTGCATCATTCTTCCCATCGAGCTTGCAGCTCCCTGGACTCTTGTTCATCCTTTTAGAGGCTGCTTATCTTTCTGGCCCATCAGGACTCTCTCCTGGATCGGAGAGTTAGAGACCAGGGGAAGACGATAACCATGTGAAAACACAAAGGCTCCGGCCGTGTGAGGCTCCTGCCTGCATCTTTCTGCTTTCCCCCTCTGTGGGTCCTTAAAGGCCTGCCACGCTGCCCAGTGAGGTGACCCCTTCGAGCCTGCCTGGCTGTATTGACGTTCCACCAGCAATTGTCTGGAGAGGAGCTCTCGTGCTCCTTTTGAAGTTCAGTGAAGTGAAGTGTAATCTGAGTGAGCTGGAACACATTTTGATAAAACGGCTTCCATGGCCAGGGCCTCCTTTAGGCAAAGCCATTAACATGGGAAGCGGAGCCAGGCTCAGCTGAGCTTTCCTGTCTGGGTCCCCCAGGCCTTCCACTGGCTTTTGATCACAGGGCATTAGGATTTTGGTGCTCAGAGGGATAGCTCAGTGTAACCCCTTCACACCCAGATGAGGAAACTGAGGCCCAGGGAGGGGATGTCACTTGCCTGAGGTCACATTGCTGGTGAGGCACAGAACCAGTGCTGGGACACTTGTCCACACTGGCTAGAACCTCCCTGTACTCTACAGAACGGTGGGTGAGCAGGGAGGAAAATGACAGAAAGGACAATGCAAACATGGAAGGGTCAGGTTTCCTCCCCCAAGGAGGCCTGGTGGGCCCTGGTGTCCACACACAGGCCAGGTTGGCTGAGGAGGCGAGGATAACAGGACAAGTCTGATGAGTCCTCACAACCTCTTCAAAGCACGTTTGCATCGTTGGTCTCAACTGGGTCCCATACCACCAGGAGGAACTCGTCAGCGCTGGTGCCTTGCTGATGGGGAGTCTACCAGAAAGGTGAATTGACCTGCCCAAGGTCTCAAAGAGCAGGTGGGATGCTTCCATGGGAGTGTTTTGCCCTGGGAAATGGCTTTAAAATCACTAGGGTAATATATGGGACGTCACAGGATCAATTTAAAGTCGTAAGGTTGTTGTGAGGATTAAATAAGTGCTTAGAATGGTGCCTAAGTAGGGCTGGCTTCTGTCATCACCATCACCAACACCGTCATCACTACCACCATCCTATCACCATTATCATTACCACCACCACCGCATCACCATTACCACCACTATCACAGCCACCACCATCACAAGCACCCCACCATCACTATCACCATTACCACCACTACCACAACCACCACCATCACCACCACCACCATCACCACCAGTACTACCATCAATATCACCACTATCATTACCACCACCATACCATCCCAACACATCACAACAACCTCCACCATCACCATCACCATCACCACCACCACCACCACCACCACCACTGCCACCATCACCA